TGTAAAAATTATTTTTAGATATTTCCAATATATTAACTCACAAGAATTTGTTGTTTATATAGTCTTTTATTAACACTCCATCAAATCTTTGTAAATTTGCTTCCACTTTTTCAAATATTTAATAATACAATATAATTTCCTAAGAAGGATATATTCAACGCATAAATAGTCTCGGCCTGCAAGTGATACCGTATCAAAAATATATTTTTTACCTCTTCTCGATGAAGAGCAATAAATCAAACAAGACGGAAAGAGCTTTAATAGCGTGGGAAATTTTGCAAGATACTTCAATATTTTCGTCATATCAAAATAAGAAATACAAGGTTCGTCGTTAAGTAAACGTCAATTAAATGTACTTTACCCTGTAAATGTACTTTCAAGCCTCTAAAAACCGCGCTTACTTCAGTTTTAAACGAACTATTATCATTTATAAACATTCACGTAAATATTTTTTAAGAAAAGAAAATATACCTAAAAAAATTATCATAAGCATTCAATCGAGAAAATTTGAGTGTTATTTGAAACTTATTTAACTGTGGTTAAAGTATAACTGTTGTTTCTAAATATAATCACAATGTGTTTTGCTCGCTTGATTAGTTGGCGTTGTTTTCCAAACATTTGCATCAATATCACATAAATCTTCTTTTTCGCGTTAATAAATCGAACTCTGAAATGAGTTATATATAGACAGATTTACCGTCTGTTCATGCTATCACGTGAGAACGCGATGTTCAGATAGTGATAGTTTACTTTTAAATATAAATATAATTTATCCTCTCGTGTACACACTGCAGATAATGAAAGTAAATTACCAAATAAAAGCGTATTTAACAAAGAGCAATACAGAAAATTGACTTGATTGATCATAAAATCATAAAATATGATTTATTCTTCTCTAACATTTTATATATATATTTTAATGAGATTAATTTTTACTTTGCCAAATATTAATTTGTCATTAAAGTTTAGATCGGCATCATTTGTATTATTAGATAATTTATCTACTTTTAAACATGATTAATAACACACCGAGATAATCGGCCGAATAATATGTTTATGAAAAAGGTAATAAATAAAAAATAAGTTCTGATAAACTGTATCTTGTATGTGTGTATACACATGTATCAACGCTTATCGTGGAATCTAACCGATAACTAGGTTTCGGGAATCGAGATAGGAGTGCAGAATAAGATCAATGATAAAGGCGAAAAACGTTATATGACAGGTGAGATTAATGGGCATGACTCACGAAATCCTGTCTTTACTCCGTAAATCAAGACCGTTTACACATTGAAACATAATTCTGCTCTATAAATGGCTTTTGACAAATATCATAAAACCGAAAATAATCGTCGGTTTTATTCCCAAAAACATGTATCGTTAATGATCTTTATTAATAGGAGTTTTGAGAGACAGGTATGACTAACGTATTTAAGATTGATTTAACTCCGAAAAATACGATAAATTGCCGAAGCGATAAAGTTCGATGTAGAAGAATGTTGTAGAGATCTCATCGTAGAGATTTCTATTGCGCTGTCATTCAACAGTAATTTAACGCGCTTTTTACCCGTTATACGCTCTTTCCATGCGACGAAAAGCTGCTTTAAAGCTGCTTTACACGCTGCTGCAACATAGAGTCAATGTGCATATTGAAGTGTCCAAATATTGAAATAGCCAAAACGACTCTTAGTCGACAGAGTAAAGTAGCTTTAAATAACCATCGCTAATAGTAGCATTTGTCGGGAAGGAAAGACGAATATTTGCGCGATGTGGTGAAAGAGGAGTGGGGGAGGGGAATTGGTACAGTGTGCTAATCTTAGATAACATGATCTGTAAGATGATTCTTCTGAATATCAGTTTTCGCTCTTTTTGCGCTATAATCAGGTTAACAAAACATTGCGTTCATAGTATTATTTATAAAATAACTTTATCTATTAAAAAATTTATGTATCTACATGAAATTCAAATATTCATTATTATAATGAATAAATAAAAATTTCTTGTTAAATTATTATTTATAAAATTGAAGATTTTACTAGTTTTAGTGTTATTCCATAACTCTTAATCACTTAATCATTTTTACAGTTTGTGCATTTAATTGCTGTAATCCATATACATCAATAAGTTACGTAAGATGCTGTTCGTGATGATACTATGCGTTAAAGCTCGTTTCGCAGTATTTGACGCAGTATTTTACATAATTTATGCAGAACATGCAAACATAACCGAAACAGTTTTACGAAGCGACGCACACAAATAGTTCGGAAAATATTTTATCCCACACGAGAGAAAAATCGCAAAATAGATATTTCCCTGATGAAATAAAACGGGAGAAAAGGCCAATCGATTGAGTCTTTTTAAATATCAATGAAACTCTCCGAGGCACAAAAGAGGTCAAAGGTCGATTATTCCTGAATAAACCATTACTTTCTAGTAACTTCATTCTCTTTTAACTTCTCTAAAATAACTTTTAAACTATGTCAGCACATTACGCGCCGAACAACTTGTTCGATTAAAAAAGAATTTCTTTTTGATATGTACATTCGTGATTTGTATTGTGCATTCTTTAAACCTGTAGAATTTCAATTACATACTTATTCGAAATGATAGACACGTTTATTTTTATTTTGCTCAATCCACTTATAAAATTAGCCAGGAAAAACTATTTATGTAAAATGAACTTTTCTAAATTGTTGTACTCATATTTGCTCTAGGTATATTTTTTTTAGTAACATGGGAAAAATTTTCTTAAACTTTTATCTTATAATCCATACGTGTTGTTTGTCGCGTGTAGAGATATCAATAAATAATATTAAAAACAATAAATATAATTGAAAAAACACACATAACTGAGAAAGATAAGCTTATATAAACTTGAGTTGATATATAGATTAATAGATATATAAATCAGTCTAATTCTTTTTAGATATAAGACTTGTATTTATGTTTTATATATTTTGTTAAAGAAACTATCTCGAACAAGTGGATTTTTTAATTGGCTTCGGCCGCATTTTGGTATCGATTTGTCGATCATCTAGATCAATTAGATTACCAGTCAAGCCAGATCGCGCTCGTTCTCAGCATGAACTAATCATTTTCCGCTTAACCGAGTGTTGTTTATCGACTTGAGAGGCATTTTTATATTCTCTTAAAAACAAACAACATTACGTGCAAATAAATCGGTTCTTTTTAAAACAATGTCTATAACTTTGAAAAATCTAGATATTTCATGAATAATTTTTATTTATTAAATTAAAAATGTAAAACGTGAGATTACTATGTATGTGATAGCAACACAAATCTATGTAATGTGAGTAACCTGATACTATTATTTAGATATTATTTTACTGGAAATTAATAATTGATCTATTGTTAATATTAATCTATAAATTTGAACAGATTTAAATTTAAACTAATAATGTGATATATAATAAAACTACATAATTAACTACATTATAATAATTATATTATAATAAGATATAAAGTATATGCATATGTATAATATGTAAAAAATTTCAGTCTTTCGATAAGAGACAGATGTTTTACATTTGCAATTCAGAAACAGCGCAGTTTTCACTGCTCAAATTGTAAACAATTTGAATCTTTTGACGTTTGCAAAATCGAATCGATCGCAATAAAGATGACTATTATTGATACGAATAGAAATTATTGCACACTTCTAGCAATGTTTGTTTCCACATATTTTTCTGCATTCCGTATGATATACAGGAAATTTTATCAAACGAATACTATTGTACCGTGAATTTATGTCGCGTTTTATTCGGTCTCGATGAACTAGTCGATTTTTTTCCAGGTTCGCTGCCCTGATAATGATAATCGCTGTATGTAAAATCACGTATATGTAAGCGTTGATAAGGGAATCCACATGTCGTGACGTCACTTCGGTCAAAGTGCAGGTCAGCACGTGATCGACCAGCTATATATTGCGAAATAATTATTCTCTCGCGATTTTTACAAACAGCTTCGAGCAATACGCGCAAAAGAAATTCATTTAAATGGTCAGTCGAGTCATGTTTCAATGCTTCACATTTCATGCTGCAAATTGAGTCTAATTCAAGGCTACTGTCGCGCACCAAAATTAAATACCTTTCGTGCATTGCGTGATCGCATCGCTGATTATTGCAGTCGACAAATTGGATGGTCAATTGTTTAATTTTCTGTGATCAGAAATCTGTTTTCGATGTCAGTTTTAATATTTAATTATTCACTGTTCGGCTTAATTTGGACTCTAAAGTAAATATTTCATAATGAATCTATTAATAATATTAATTAATAATGTCTAAAATATAACTCATATTTATATCTATCAAGTGATATTAACTGGAGCGCTTACATTTACGTCGTGTAAGTTGAAATTTCCTAATATTTGAAAAAAATGTTATTTATCTTTACAAAAAGAGCATAGGTTATTTCCTCTGTGAGGTTATCAGAGTTTACACATGTTAATGCATTTTTCTCTTAAAAGTTAAGAAATCTTTGTAAAAAATTTTCATGATGGATATCAACACATTGAATTTGACATACTTTACTTGTTATCACATGGATAGTATATTACAGTTTTTGCAAGACTCGCTTGAAAGTCATCGAGTGTGTTGACAATCTTGAACAAATAAGTTACGATCCAATATAAATACGATAGAATGTCTCGACAGCCGAGTGTTTCAGCAATCGAGTATCTCGGTTTTTATCTTGATTTTTGTTACGATATTTACTGTTTCCCCAGCTCGTGGCGATACAATCATTGATTGTTAATATATTAATTATATAATGAATATCGCTAGTATATGAATCACATTAATTAATGCAGTATTAATGAATCTATTAATAAATTTGATTGACCATACTGTAATAACCAACGTTCGCAGCAATCTCAGTCATTGCTATCATTAATCGCGTTGCAATCAAAATATATAATGAAAAAATTAAACAGAACATAATATAATAAGAATAGAAATGTGTGACGTGAATAAAGATCCTACTTGTCTGTGTGCATGCTTTTCCGGTGCTCTAACGGCGGCTGCATCTGAAGAAATCCGACACTAACACGGGCACAATGGAAAATGTGCTTTCGGCTGCGATGTTAAACGGTGATCTTCATGTCGCGCCGTTTCACGAATAAATGACGAAATGCGAAACGCGTGCGGGCAATGTAAAATGTGTATTCGATCTCGTAGTATTTTTATCAGTCTCTCTATTCACTCGCTCACGTGTACAAGCTCACGTGCTCGCTATGTACGCACGTCTACGCACCGCGATGTACGCTGACGAACTGTTTACCATCGCTGAGCTGACAACCAGATGATAGCTTCCGACTCGAGGTTCTCCTCGGTGCCAACAGCGACCCAGCAATCGGCCAGTCGATGGCTGACAGCAGCGTGGAGACAGTCATCCGGTGATTCTGATAAGGAAACTCCGCCCAGATAGTGCCGAGATACGCTCGAGAATTCAGTCAGGTCATCTCGCGGGGAGGGCAATTATTTTTTTTTTTTATTATTTCAAAACCGCTACTAAGACAGTCGTCGAGTAAACGAGATCGTCACTTTGTCCGAGGAGTAGCTTGCAACTTTGAGAAAATTGTACACTTTTTTCTAATTCGACGTACATGGATATAAGAATGAATGGATTTTCTGCTAGTGAAGATATACAGAGTGATTATACGTTCGGAACTTTTCGGAGCAGCGCCGAGTTTAGTTGTGCATTAAAATTCTGAAAAAATAGCCTTATATCATTTTTCTACGAAAGAAATTAATTCTTTCATTTGATGTGTGTGCCGCGGCCTGATAAACGTCAATATTCAACAAAAGCTAGATAAATAAACAGTAGACAAAAGTTTGCGATTGTTTGTGAAAGAAAATATTTGCTTTCGTTATATTTGTAGTGGTTTCACTCAATTATCGATGTTCTGAAATTAAACAATGCATAATGGTATTATATATTATTATTATAACATGGTTTTATATTATATATGTGCTGATGATTGTTGTGAGAATAATCGTGTCGATTTCTATTTACTTTTAATATGTCGCTTTTACTAAAGTATTATTCTACAATTTATTCCAAATTATGATAAAACTTATTTTTATGATTTATTATTGTTTAAAATTATTTAAACTAACATGATATATAAATCGACGTATTGCATAAAATATATATAAATTTGCATCTATATAATTTATTAAATATGCAAAAATAAAATAGCAAAACAAATTAAAGTAATTATAAACATGTTTTAAATAATTTATGAAAAAATCACTGCTTAGGTGATTAAAATATGAAAATTATATAATTATAATCTTTTTCGTTATTCTACATTATCTTTGTCAAAAGTAATATAAAGTTTGAAACATAATTTGATCGCGTATTCAATTATCATGTACGTGTCGGTTACATCATCGGTCTGTATTATTGCACTATGACTAAACACGCATGTTTTACTATATGAATCATGGTTGCAGATAGTCGGCATTGCTGCACATTGGAGATCATTATAATACATCGCGCGTGATAATAAGTTTGACATACGAATGCAGCATTGCCTTGTACAACCATACATGTGAATACAATAGTCAGGTTGCAGCATTTATGATTAGCTTTAAAGGAGAGGAAAATTTCAATGTCGCTTCATATTATAAATATGCATCGTATTTTTTTTCTGTTCGTATTGAATTCTCAAATTCATTGAAATATAATGTATTTGTGATAATAACATTTTGATATATGCATTGCTAATTTATAACCGGTGAACGCGGTATTAATTTTGCATATCTATTTGAATGATTTTATATTTTTATTTTCATTTTTATAAATTGGTAATTAGTATTTAATATAAATTTGTGTTTAGAGACTAGTATTATTACATATAGCTTTTACTATAACAACAAAATTAATAAGATCAATTGACTTTTTTTTATTATTTTTTAGTGAGTTTACTCGATTTTTCATCTCGATTTTTCATCTCGATTCATCTTGCATTCTTGTGCAATTTTGCATTTAAATTATTTATTATATCAATTTTCAAATCTTTATCGCGTGATTATATGATTTGTCATTTTGTGACGGGTGACGCAAATTTTTGAGAACAGATGTAGCTGGTTAATGAACATTTAGAAAAACATATAAATAACTCCACTTAAAGGCAAATATTTAACCATGAAAGACTTACATCAATAAAATTAGTATATGTAAGTTTACATGACTCGGTATTTGCAAAAAGAGCAACCTATAGAAGGTTGAAATTTTTGCTTGAAGGTATGTAATTGTTATTGTTGGAAATAAGTATAGCTTGTGTTAGAATAATTCTATGTAATAATCCTTCCTGAACAACCTTGCTGTTGCTTTGCACGAATTTTCGGCTCGCAATCAGTAGTGTATTGGAGCGACAAGTAGCGTACATGTCATAAATAATTATTCATACCAATGAGTATTGAATATTGTATTCGTGGTAGGTCACATTGGCAGGAGAGAACCATTAATTTGTTTAATTGTGCATTATGCACTCGGAAACCGTTTTACGCAATTCTCTACGTATACACGAACTAAAACCAATAATTATTGAAGTACCTTTCAATATAATCCAATTTCTATAAAGTATTCACGCAATACGATTACTTAAAAAATTATAGTGAAACAAAAATTTATATAATATTGAATTTTTGTTATAAATTTTGCTTTAGAAAAATTTAAATAAATTGTTTTCGTATTATGCAAAATAATTTTTTAATAGCATGCACTATTTTTCACTGTATTGATCGGTTTCTATTATCGATATATATCTATGGCTTATTGCAAGCGCATCCGATATCATTTTTCGATCAACAAGATACGCTTTATACCAAACTCCAATAATCTCTTACAAGAAAATCAGTTTTATGATTGAAAATAAAGCTGGAGCTCATTATGTAAAACATCTAACGTTAATTAAAAAATAACGTAGATTATTCTTGCATTTAATTGTAGATATAATATTAATTAATATTAATTAACTCTCAAGTTTTCTCTGGATAATAATATAACTATTTTTCTTACTAATTTTGCGACATTTCCAATTTTATAACTTTTTAATTAGTATTTAATATAAATTTGTTTAGAAACTAATATTATTACATATACAAGCTTCACTATAAGAACAAAATTAATATTAAAGATTCATCGAGTTTTCATTGTTTTTTGGCGAGTTTATTCGATTTTTTTCACATCGTGTCATTGCGCAATTCTACATTGAAATTTAATATTATGTAAATCTTTAGATTTCTATCATACGATCGATTACCATTTTGTGACGGATAATGCAAACCGCTGAGAACCAGAGGTAACTGGTTAATACCGATTGAACGATAATACGAACCTAATTAAGCGCAGATGCTTTCGCGTGCAAGATAAAAATGAAAAGACTGTCGTAATCAAGCCAAGGATTTGGCATATTTTCGCCACGTGTTTTATCAGGCTGCGATAACCGCGGAAAGCAGACGTTCTTTTGAATGAAGAAACAATCCGTTATCGCTATTGCTGCGCTTGATGAGAGGCACGACACGCTGTCTGGTAGAGAGAATCGAATAATACCGCTGCAAACTTTCGCATTGTCGCAACATGCAATATGCTTCGCAGTTACCATTCATACCTTTTCTAACTACGTACAATGCGCGTTTCTTCTTTTGATCTTTCTTTTCTCCAAGAAATATTAAAGTTGCATTTTACGTCGTTAGAATCTTTACATTTTATCATCTGTTGCACGTATCAAAATATAAGAAAAATGATATAAAATAATGAACAATTACACATAAATCGTCTTTTATATTATTTAATGAAAGATTTAATATATAAATACATATATATATGTATATAATTCTTTAAAGAATTTAAGACTGAAAGAAATTTTGTATACAAAATTTTATAAAATTATCCTCCTCTTAAAATTTCTATCTTGAATGTTAAATATTAAACTGTTAATACAAAAATTCTATTGAAGTTTTCAGTAAAATCAAATTAAAACTAATTTAATTATCTGCGCCTGGCACTTAATTTAGGAAAATCCTTTTAGTTTCAATGTTGAGTGTAATTATATTTCCTATGGGATTTCGCTATTAAGGAGAAAATTAACTCAGCCTCATGTATCTATTGATCGTGGCTTGTTCAGTATGCACGAGACGAGTTTTCATTCTTTACAGCGAACACGCGCTCCTCACGTTAAACCGCTCTCAATTAGCAATCTGTTTAAACGCCGTGAGTCTTTTTAGAGCCAATCAGTACGCACTAAGGACTCGTAAATAGTGTTTCGTAATGTTAACGGCTCATCATTTTCTTTGTTATCTCTCTTAATCCTGTTGTCGGACGATAAGTTACACAGCATAGAGCCAGTACGCGGTAATTGCATGTGAACCCAATTTAATGTGTACTTTGTGCACACACGTGCTGAGATAATGTTTGATCCTCAGTACTGTCGTAATGGCACGTAAGATGATTAGTCAACGGAACCTTTCGATAATTTGATGCATGATTCACACGTCAACTAATTTTATACTCTAAGGTCGCGCATTATTCTTCTCGCTTATAAATATTGTCGTTTTTACGCATTTATAAATATTGTTTTGATCGAACAGCATAAATAATATTTTCTCGCTTCACAGAGCAGAAAAATATCACGTCTCAAATTACTTTATTTTCACGTTCAGCCGTCTACGTAAATGCAAATTTTTTTAAGCACGTGCTTATTACACTTCAATTTTTTTATTGATATATTTCAAATAATGCAAATTTTGCGACGCAAAATAGAATAAATTTTAATGATATTTGAATCGATAATATCTCTACGATGGTCATTGTATAATCATGTTTCTCAAATTTATAATTTTTTAAATAATTAAAAAAAATAATTACACACTACAAATGCGACACATGCGACACTTAATAGTATTTATTGTATTCGAAATACGGTGCTACAGAGAATCTTTAATGCGTTCGAAACATTTAAGTACTTACCTCCTAATTTACCAACAGTCTCGAATGTACCCTGATTGTAACTTCCTTCCCTCCGGTTCGATCACGTTTTATCAAACAGCCCGCATAATTACAGAGAGTCACACTTTGTACACGTGGATAAAATCGACTGGGCTCGTTTTTTAATTAAAGCATCCTTTCACGGTTCTCTCGTGCGCGACGTTTCAAAGATTTCATGCTGAAAATGGTTGAAAAAGTCGCAAGTTTTTCACTGTTGATGGAATAAAACCCGTTTTGTTACTTTCTTGAAAATGAGGGAAAGAAAAATTAAGAAAACA